CTTGGCGAGGCGGCCGCCCCGCGGGCGGCCCGCGGCGCCGAGGCCGCCGCGCGCGGCCGACGCGCGCGCGGCCGACCGCGCGCCGCGGCCCGCCTTGCAGAGGCCCGCGTCCCGCAGCTCGCGCGCCGACGGCGCCGGCGCGCCCGCGCGGTCCGCGCGCATCTGCGCCTTGAGGGCCTTGTAGGCGTCGGTCTGCTTCCACTTGCCGTAGTAGAACGCGAGGACGTCGCCGACGGTCCGGCCGCAGCCGAGCTCGCGCGCGACGCGCGCGACGTCCTTGCGCGACCGCGCCATGAGCTCGCCGAAGCGCTGGGCCTCGTCGGCGGTCCAGCGCCGGCTCCGGCCCGCCGCGCCGCCCGCGGCGATGGTCCCCGCGGCCGACGCCGACGCGATCGCGCCGCCGCCCTCCGCGCGGCCCGGCGACCCGCCGGCGGCCGGCGCGCCCGGCGGCGCCTTGGGCGCGCCCGACGCCGCCGGCGGCAGGGGCCAGACGCGCTCCCACAGATCCACGGCCCGGGCCTCGGCCGCCGCGGGCGCCGCGTCGAACGCCTCGGGAACCGGCAGCGCCCGCGGCTCGAGCATGCCCTCGCGCTTGCGCCGGTCCGCCGACGCGCTGTTGGGCAGCGAGATCTTCTTCGGCGGCGTCGCCGCGGGCACCTTGGGCGCCGCGCCGTCGCCCGCGGCGCCGCCCTCGGCGCGGCTCGGCGTCCGCGGCGGCCGCGGCGGCGCGCCCGCGCCGCGCGTCGCCGCGGACGCGAGGGCCGCCGCGGCGATGGCCCGGTCCTCCTCGAGCTTGACGGCGGCGGCGGCGACGGCGAGCGCGGCCGTGCCCCGGGGCTGGTCGTCGACGAGGTCCGGCCGGAACGTGCCCGGCTTCGGCGCGGCCTGCCAGCGGCGCTGGCGCTTCCGCGCGGGGCTCGCGCCCGCCGCGCGGCTCGCGGACCCGCTCGGCGCGGGCGAGCTCGCGCCGCCGACGCAGGCCGCCAGCGCCTTCTCCAGGAGCGGGCCGCTGAGGTCGAACGCGGGCGCGGGCGCGGCGCCCGCGGACTTGGGGCCGCCCTTGGGCGACGCCGCGGCGGCGCCGCCGGGCGTCGACGCCGGCGCGCTCCCCGCGGGGAGCGTCGGCTCGACCTCCTCGGCGACGAAGCGCTCGAAGCGCCGCCGGAGGCTCGCGTTCCAGTGGTTCTTGACCGCGTTGTCCGTGCGGCCGGGCAGGAGCCGCGAGATCTCCGCCCAGCGGTTCCCGCGCTTGTGGTGCTCGACGAGGATCGTCCGCACCTCGTCCACGGTGAAGGGCGCCTTGGACACCGCCGGGTCCAGCTGGTTGTGCCACCGCTCGCGGCACTGCTTGCCCGTGCGCCCGGGCATCGCCGACGCGATCGTCGGCCAGCGCCGCGGCCTACGTCGGGTGTGGGTGTGAGGGGATGCGCGGCTTTTGGGGGCTGGGGCCCGGGGATGGGGGGGGGGGGTCGCGCACCCGCGTTGCGTCACGAGGCGGGTCAGTTCCTCGTCCTCCGCGGCGCTCCAGGGCGCGGAGCCGCTCGTCGGCGCCTGCGCGGGGGCGGGCTCGGGGCCGGCCGCGGGGGGCGGCGACCCGGGACGCCGAGGGCGCGCCGCCGAGGAGCGGGGCGGGCTCTTGCCGCCGGCCGCGGCGGCCGACCCGTTCGCCGCGCGCGGAGACCCCGTCGGGGCCGTCGCGCTCGGCCGCCCGGCCTCCGGGGCGGTCCCCGCGGCCTTGGTCGGCGTCGCCGGGGGCGCGTGGCCGCCGGACCCGGCCGCGGGGGCGCCGCGCGCGTCGGCTTCGCCGGCCGAAGCGGCGGAAGCGGTTTCCGCCGGCGCGGGGGCGAGGGGCGCCGCGTCCGCGGACGTCGACGACCCGATGGGCTTGGGCAACGGCGGGGGCCGGGACCCTGGGGGCGAGTCGACCTCCATCTAGGCTGGCGCAGCACAACAGACGGCGTCGCCGGCCGGGTCCACAAAGCAACGAGTATCGACACCACGCCTCTCTCTCTCCTCGGGTATGTGCTGACATTGCCTGTAATGTTACCACGAAACCGCCGGCGCCGCGCCGCCACTTGCGCCGCACTTTGCGCCGCCACGCGACTTCGCCAGGGCTATGGCAAGAGCACACAATGGGGAGATGTTAGCTCACGAAACCGCCGCGAGAGGCGCCGTCCTCGCTCACTCGTAGAGGCAGACGCCCGTGTGGAGGAGGCGCGTGTGGCCGACGACGCAGCGGGCGCCGCGGGGGCAGGCCGCGTCGGCCTCGGGGTCCTTGGCCGTCGCGGACATCGCGCGGTCGCACGTGAGGACGCAGTGGAAGTCCGTGCCGACCTTGGCCGTCGCGTTGCCGGACACGGCGAGGCACGTCGTCGAGAGCTTCGTGGCGTCGCCCGGGGACCAGGGGTGGTCGGCCGGGCAGCCGTTCTCGACGTTGCGGTAGCCGCCGACGGCGCACGTCGGCGCGCCCGACCGGCCCGTCTTCGCCGGCGCGCAGACGCGGCCGTCGGCGCCGAAGCGCACCTCGTCCTCGTCCGCGCGGCAGCCGACCGCGGGGTCGCCGTAGTGCGCGCGGCCGCGGCCGTCCTCGGCGGGTTCGGCCTCGGCGACCTCGCGCTCGACGGCCAGCGCCGCGGCCGCCGGCCGCGCGGACGACACCAGCCCCTCCGAGAAACGCGATTCCGACGACGCGTCGACCTCGCCGCGCCCGAGGTGCGACTCCTTCGTGAACCGGGACACGAAGTTCCACACGAGGCGCGAGTTCTTCGACCCCTCGTTGCCAAAGTAGTTGTGGGCGCCGTTCCACGCGCAGCGCACGACCGGGTTGCCGCCGCACGTCTTCCCCCAGCAGTAGAGCTCGTCGACGCCGTCCTGGGGCGTCTTCCACTGGCTCGCCGGCTCGTCCTCGCAGCCGTTCGCCGGCTCCCACACGGCAAAAATGTCCGACATGAGGCTGTAGATCCAGCCCTCGTTCGACACGGGCCCGTCGCCGTACGTCGTGTCGTTGATCGGCACCGTGACGTCGTGCGTGCCCGTGCAGTCGAGCACGGGCACGGGCACGGCGGGCGCGTCGATGTACCCGTTCATGAAGCTGCCGGAGATGGGCGCGATGGCCGCCAGGCGCCCCGCGAGCTCCACGCCCAGGCGGAAGCTGTAGATCGCGCCGTTCGACTGGCCCGTCGCGTATTCGCGCGTCACGTCGACGCAGAGCTCGTCCTCCAACAAATCCAGCAGGGCGACGTTGAAGGTCGTCGAGTCGACGCACGTCGTCCAGTCGCAGCCCGTCTTGTCGCAGCCGACGAAGGGCTCCGCCGTCCGCTCGGCGCACGACGTGTAGCAGTACTGCGACGTGCCGCCCCAGGCGTAGCAGCCCGGTTTTTGCTGGTCGCTCTCGACGGTGCCCACGGCGTTCCACGAGTCCCAGTTGAAGCCGCCGCCGGGGTGCGGGTTGTCCGCCCAGCCCTGGGCGTAGGCGACGACGTAGCCCGCCTCCTCGGCGAGCTCGCTGAGGCCGCTGTCGTGCTCGTCCTCCTCCGCGGACACGGTCCAGCCGCCGTGGCTCAGGATGAGCGGCGTCGGCTTCGACGCGTCGTAGCTCGCGGGGATGTGCAACCGGTAGAGGCGCCGCAGGCCCTCGACCTCGACGTGGCGCACCACCGTCCGGCCCGTGGCGACGGGCGGCGACTTGCCGCAGCCCTGGCTGCCCCGCGCGGCGGCGGCCGACGCGGCGAGGAGCGCGACGCGCCCGAGCATCGTCGCAGTGCACGCGAGCCGCGAGCTTCGACGACGAGCCACGAGACGACGAGCCACGAGCTTCGACGACGAGCCGCGAGCTTCGACGACGAGCCACGAGCTTCGACGACGAGCCACGAGCTTCGACGACGAGCCACGAGCTTCGACGACGAGCCACGAGCTTCGACGACGAGCCACGAGCTTCGACGCCTCGCGAGAAGCAATCGTTTGAACGCGGGGGCTGCCCAATGGGAAGCGCCGCAGAGCAACGGCACGACGTCAACTTGCAGATTCCGAGCGGCGCCCGAGAGAAGCCCGGCCTCGCAGTGCGCGCACCAGCAGCGATGGCGCCGCAGACGGGCTCGATCGTGCTGAACAACGGCGACTCCATGCCCATCATCGGCCTCGGCACGTGGCAGGCGCCCAAGGGCGAGGTCGGCGCCGCCGTGCGCGTGGCCATCGAGAACGGCTACCGGCACGTGGACTGCGCGGCGTGCTACGGCAACGAGGCGGAGATCGGCGAGGTCTTCGCGGACCTCTTCGCCCGCGGCGTCGTCAAGCGCGAGGAGCTCTTCGTCACGTCCAAGCTGTGGAACTCGGAGCACGCGCCGAAAGACGTGCGACCCGCGTGCGAGAAGACGCTCAAAGATTTACGGCTCGACTACCTCGACCTCTACCTGATCCACTGGCCCCAGAACTTCGCCAAGGAGGTCGAGGGCAACTGCTCCTTCCCGCGGAACGACGACGGGTCCATGCGCTACGACGTCGAGACGACGTCCGCGGAGACGTGGTCCGCCATGGAGGCGCTCGTCGACGCGAAGCTCTGCAAGGCCATCGGCCTGTCGAACTTCAACTCGAAGCAGATCGAGGATCTGCTCACGACGTGCCGCATCAAGCCCGCGAACCTCCAGGTCGAGGTCCACCCCTACTTCTCGCAGGCGCCGCTCGCGGGATTCTGCCACGCCAAAGGCATCTCGCTGACGGCCTACTCGCCCCTCGGCACGGGCGCGACCATCGACGGCATGACCGTCGTCGGCAACCCCGTGCTCGCGGCCATCGGCGAGGCCCACGGCAAGTCCGCGGCGCAAGTCGCGATCGCGTGGCTCGCGCAGCGCGGCCTGGTCGTCATCCCCAAGTCCGTCACGGCCGCGCGCGTCGTCGCGAACCGCGACGTCGACTTCGCCCTGACGCCCGAGGACATGGCCAAGGTCGACGGCCTCAACAAGGACTTCCGCAACGGCTGGGGCGGGCCCAAGGTCAACCGCGACGGCGCCGAGCAGCCCCGGGACGGCCTCCACCCGCTCTACCCCTTCACGCAGCCGGGCGTCGCCTTCTAGATGCGGTAACCCTTAGTGCCCGCGGAGCGCCGGCGGCGGCGGCCGCTCGGGGATCGTGCCGAGGGCGAAGCCGCGCTGGTAGACCGCGGCGTCCGCGGCGTCGTCGTCGGCGCCCGCCGCCTGCTCGGGCCAGGTGCAGGGCCCGCCGCCGCGCGGGCCGCCCGGGTCCGGCGGCCGCGCCGCCGCGGCGCCGACGGCGGCGGGCGCCTGCGCGGCGCCGCCGAAGGGGGACGCGGCCGCGGCGCCGCCGCCGAAGGGCGACGCGGCCGCGGCGCCGGCGCCGCCGAAGGGGCTCTGGCCGAAGGGCGCCGGCGCCGGCGCCTGGCCGAAGGGCGCCGGCGCCGCCGGCGCGAAGCCGCTCGTCGCCGACGCGGGCTGGCCAAAGGGCGCGGGCGCGGGCGCCTGCCCGAAGGGCGCCGCGGCAGCCTGGCCGAAGGCGCTCGTCGCCGCGGGCTGGCCGAAGGGCGACGCCGCGGGCGCGGGCGCGCCGAAGGCGGTCGGCGCGGCGGCCTGGCCGAAGGGCGTCGCCGCGGGCGCGGCGAAGGCGGGCGGCGCCGGCGCCGCGACGGACATCTGCGCGTTGTCGGTCTGGCCGAAGGGCGCCATGGTCGTCCCGCCGCCGC